TGGATATCTGTCTGCCATTTTTCATCCGAGGTAGATCCTATCTCAAAAAGTGTATAATTCTAATATTCTCACTTTTGTTGATCAGGGTATAGGAAAACAGTTAAAGGACAAAGGGTGGTTGAGATTATGAGGTGAACAGAAAACATGATTGAGTGTGGTGGACCTGAGGCCCTACTGGGTGTAGAGGGAAGGACTTTTCCTCAGTAACTTTATTCTAGAGTCCTGAAAGAATGATCCGAAGTTCACTGGAAAAAGCAAGCTCTGTATAGTACTAAGCCACTAAACGCTAAGCCCAGACTTTCTACTTAATACTCCTAGTCTTGCCGAAACTGGTTTGGCTCAGTGGATAGAGCGTCAGTCTATGGACTGAAAGGGTCCCAGGTTCAATTCCAGTCAAGGGCATGTACCTTGGTTGCGGGCACATCCCCAGTAGGGAGTGTGCAGGAGGCAGCTGATCGATATTTCTCTCACATCGATGTTTCTAGCTTTCTATCACTCTCCCTTCCTCTCTGTAAAAAAAATCAATGAAATATATTTAAAATAAATACTCCTAGTCTTGCCCTTTGGGATCCTGGCCTTGGTGATCGGCCTCTCTGCATCTTCTCCTTATGGTTGCAATCTATTTGTTCCAGCAATTCTTTTGCCAGCCCATTCATTATGTAATTTTACACAGCTTCCTCTCTTTTCCTATACCAAGCTACAGGTCTTTAGAGATTTTTAAAAATTCCTAGTGATAGACAAATAGAAATAAGCACAGTTCCTTTCTGTTTCCCTTCTCATTTTTATACCTGGACTCAAGAAAGGAGGACAAAATGGAGACACAGGTGCTAAGGGTATGTATTTGTTGACCCAAATTGCTTCTCTGGGAATTTTATGTAGTTTGACAGTGACACTCGGAGTTTAGGACAGATTGAGCTCTCTGGCTGCTAGAATGAGGAGGTGGAATGATAGAGAAGAAGGAAAAGCAACTTGAGGCAGAGGAAGGGGTCTTTCCTCTGTTAATGGAAAAACAAAACAAAACATTGAAACCTGTAAAGAATTTTAGTGAGTTTATTTGAGCCAAACTGTCGATGTATGCTGGGAAGCAGAACCTCAATAAATTGAGATAATGCTCCAAAGAATGGCGGGTTACATTTCTTTTCTTTCTTTTCTTTTCTTTTCTTTTCTTTTCTTTTTTTATGGCTATCAGCTGCCTCTTGCACACTCCCTGCTGGGGATGTGCCCGCAACCAAGGTACATGCCCTTGACCGGATTCGAACCAGGGACCTTTCAGTCCGCAGGCCGACGCTCTATCCACTGAGCCAAACCGGTCTTGGCTACATTTCTATTTATACATCGCAATCAAAGGAGGAACATAGGTGGGTTACATGAAATTCATTGGTGACGGATTAAGGAGGTGGGATAAAGCAAAGCAATGGGAAACCCCTAGGATTGGATAAAAAGTAAAATGATGGACGTGTACTTAGGTGAGTGCAGGAACAATTAACATGATAAAGAAGGAATTTGAGGCATCTGTCCTGGCGCCCACCACATTTGGTTGTACCCCAGGGGCTCCAGAAAAAGGGAAGTTACTAGTTAACCAGACATATCACAGATATGTTATTTTAGAGGCAAAAAAAAAAAAAAAAAAGGCTAACGGGCTCAGTAAAGAAGATCTAAGTTGATCTTTGTCAGAGAAAATATGGGCCTTGGACATGACTACCCACTATAACCTGTTTGTAACTTAAATATTTAATTTCCAAACCAACTATCATGGTTATTTTAGGTCTCTGAGTTTGCAAGACTGCCATGCAGGCCTCCCCTGAGCTTGTCAGGTTAGCATGTGGCTCCTTTCGTTCACACCCCTCTACTGTCCCAGTCCTATTATCTCAAGATGAGGCACATAAGGATCACTTAGTAATGCAATGAAGCAGGGATACAGTGGGAAGCTTGTTCCAGCCAGACAAGCTTGTTCCACTCTCCTGGTGGGTTAATTGGTCCATGGGTGTCATTTATATGTAATTTGGGCACTTATTACTGCACATTGAACTGACAACATTTTTTCTTTCTTTAAATATATTCTTATTGATTTAAGAGAGGGAGAGAGAAATAGAAATGTCAGTGATGAGAGACAATCATCCATCAGCTGCCTCCTACACGCCCCCTTCTAGGGATCTTGCCTGCGACCCTGGGCATGTATCCTCGATCAGAATCGAACCCAGGACCCTTCAGTCCACAGGCCAACACTCTATCCACTGAGCCAAACCAGCTAGGGCTTTACACATTTTTTTCTTAAATGAATCTTCTTTATTTGCCTCTGTTTAAAGGATGGCTATGCTTCCATGAAAAAAATGCCTCAGAAGAGATTTGATTTAAGCTGAAAACCTTAGAGCAAATAGGAATATAGAGATATGGGTGCTAATGGAGCAGCAGTGTCTTGAATGCTTAGAGTTCTCTTATCTCTTATTGTTTTACCATAGCCTTTACAACAGATATTTGTTTGTTTCTGTCTCCCTGCTGTTTAGTTCTCAGGTCTTTTCTCTGTAAAAGAGGGTCAATTGAAATTGGACTGTAATACCAAATTTCTACAGAAGATGTCACTGTTTGACTTGATTTACAGTGTAAATCATTTAGTATGAGTCACATTGAAAGATTCAGGTTTTGTTACTTTTTTGCTATTAATCAGTTCTCTGTATTTGAAACTCTGGGGTTTAAGTTAGTTAGCATAAAGTGTGTGTATAACTTCCTTAAGATGGGAAGTAATAGGCAAGATTTTTTAATATCGGAGGTCAATCACCTTGTCTAGTATGCAACACTGAACAGTATTGGGTACATTGGTGTTTTTTTAAAAAATAACAATAAAAAATGGACATGCGTATAGAAGCATATAATAAAAATAGAAGTAAATAAAAATAAAAATGTTTTATTATCCCCATTTGGATACAATTGCTGTTATAAACTTTAAAAATGCTAAACAAAAGTGTGTGTGTGTGTGTGTGTGTGTGTGTGTGTTTAAAAATATATTTTATTGATTTATTACAGAGAGGAGGGGAAAGGGATAGAGAGTTAGAAACATCGATGAGATGCCTAAACCGGTTTGGCTCAGTGGATAGAGTGATGGCCTGCGAACTGAAGGGTCCTGGGTTCGGTTCCGTTCAAGGGTATGCACCTTGGTTGCGGGCACATCCACAGTAGGGGCTGTGCAGGAGGCAGCGGATCGATGTTTCTAACTCTATCCCTCTCTTTTTCTCTGTAAAAAAAAAAAAATCAATAAAATATATTAAAAAAACAAAACATGGATGAGAGAGAAACATCAATCCGCTGCCTCCTGCACACCCACTACTGGGGATGTGCCTGCAACCAAGGTACATGCCCTTGACTGGAATTGAACCTGGGACCCTTCAGTCGCAGGCCGACGCTCTATCCACTGAACCAAACCAATCAGGGATAAAGTGGTTTTATAGGTAGTACTTTGCTCTACTATTTGGTATTTTTAATTACCATTGTTCCATGCCAATTTGGATAGATTATCAGATTCTTTTCAGTAGGTTCATGGTATTACTTGTGTGGACTATTACTTAAATAGTTCCCTGTTAATAGACATGTTGGTTTTCTCCAGTACTTCTTTTTTATAAACAGTTGATAACAGTGAACATCCTTGTATGTACCTTTGCATACTTGTGTTTTTGTAGCATCAATTTTTGGAAGTGGGATTGCTGGGACAAAATGGCATGCCTATTTACAATTTTAATAGTTGTTGCTATAGAATTTGCAACATTATAAATTGGTGCTTTCACTAACAAGAGTGCTTTTTTTTCCTTTCACTTTTGCCAACATATATTATCAGGTTTGAGTTTTGCCCGTGTGAATGGGTGAATAGTAGAATCCCATTATTTTAGTATTTGTTTCTCAGGTAGATATCATTTTATATGTTATGCCTTCTCTTCTGTGAATTGTGTATGTGTATTTGTTCTCCATTTCCCCATTCGGTTCTTATCCTTGGTGTCTAGTGTATAATAGGAATATTTGTTACAGATCTTTTCTTTCAGATTGGGTTCATGTCATACCTAGGTTTTTACCTTTTCTAAAGAATGTGAAAATATTCTGTTTTCTTCCATTCTGCTTATGGCTTTATTTTTTACATTTAGATTTTAATCCATCTGGAATTTATTTTTGTGTATGCTGTGAGGTAGGGATAATACTTTACTTTTTTCCCAAGTGGATAACTAGTTGATCAAGCACCATTTATTGAATAATTAATCTGTTTACTGACTTAAAATACCATCTTTATCATATACTAAATTCTCATATATTCCTGGATCTGCTTCTGGGCTCTGTTTTGTTCACCTGTTCTTTCAACCTAGTTTTCTGTCTTGAATCCAGTACAGCCAAATTATAATCATTATCACCACCCACTATGGTGGGTGTAGAACATTCTCTTTTGATACTCCTATAAGAGTTTCTACTGGATTCTGTGATATCAGAAAACTGGGAATCTAAGAGGTATGCCTTAAAAGACTACTGATCATACCTCATTATGAATTTGCTGACAATGAATTGGACTTGAGCTAGACTTTTCAGGGAACTATCTTTGGGGTTGAGTGTGATATAGACCCACCCTTTAGCTTGCTTGACTCATGGAAATGGTTCAGGGCCAGAACCAGACACCTGCCATGCTAATAACTTCCCTCATTGTTCAGAATTTACTGTGACTGAAGATGGGTGGTTGCTGTAATACTGCCCACTTGAACCTGGTGGTACACCATATTTTTAGGGCTCCTAAAGCATCAAATCAGTAATGGCCAACTAGGACTTGTTAATTTTTACTAATCTCTAATTAAAAGTTACCTAGTCGTTCATTTCTAGAAACAATTCTTACACTGTGTTCATTTAGAATTTCATAATGCTATGACATTAGATAGCTAACTTCTTAAATCTTCTAGTTCCTGTTTGATAATATGAGATATAGATATATATGTGTATATAGGTATACATATATATATTTATATTTTTTTTTCTAGAATGACCAATCAACAGGGGACATAAAAGTGATTGGTGGAGATGATCTCTCAACATTAACTGGAAAGGTATGTATGTATCTTGAAGAAGGCCCATTATACCAAGAGTCATTAGTAAGACTATGCTGCCAATCAATCACTAAGAGGCAGTTTACATAGTTATTTATGCACATAGGTATCTTTCTCTAGGTCATATAGCAAAGAGACAGTGGAATCCAACATTAAATTTAAAAGTTTGTGTTGCCAAGTACTGCTATCTGCCACTGTGCTGATCTAATTTGGGATCCTTCAAAAAAAAAAAAAAAAATATATATATATATATGGAAAGGCAGTCTTTTTTTTTAATATATTTTATTGAGTTTTTTACAGAGAGGAAGGGAGAGAGATAGAGAGCCAGAAACGTTGATGAAAGAGAAACATCGACCAGCCGCCTCCTGCACACCCCCTAGCGGGGATGTGCCCGCAACCAATGTACATGCCCTTGACCGGAATCGAACCTGGGACCTTTCAGTCCACAGACCGACACTCTACCACTGAGCCAAACCGGTTTCGGCAGAAAGGCAGTCTTTTTAAAAAATAGAGTCACAGGTGTTTCTCCCCCCCCCCCCCCATCTATTTAAAATTGATTATAGAGAGAGAAGGGAAGGAGAGAGGAAGAGAAAAAGAGAAAGAAACATGAATTTGTTCCATTTATCCATGTATTCATTGGGTGATTCTTGTATGTGCCTGATGGGTTCAAACCCAAGACCTTGGCATATTGGGACAGTGCTCTAAACAACTGAGCTTTCCAGCCAGCATACACATAGTTTCGGAAAAGATAGAGGAGCAGTAACATGTAGTGGCTGAAAGTATGGGTTCTGGAGCTGGACAGCCTTGATTCAAAGCCTGGCTCAGTACTTCCTAATATGTGACCTGGGACCGTTTTTTTTTAATCTCTATATCTCCCATATGTAAGGTAGGGGTGGCAGCCACGTCATAGAATTAAAAGAAGACTAAGTGAAATGATGCATGTAGAGTTCTTACAACAGTTTCTGGAGTTAGAACACTCAGTAAATTCAAGCATAACTATTATTTTAAGGAACCTCAAAGTTTTTTAAACATCAAAATTCTTGCAGTATTATCAATTGGCTGACTAAAAGAGATATTAAGATGTTTGAGCATTTTTCTTCTGATACAGGAAATGATTTTTTAAATAACCAATAATAGAGCTATGGTTTTAAGCTGCCATTTATATTGTGCCAAATATAAAGGCATAATCTCAAAAGTTTCACACGTTTCTGTGAGGTGTATATTATTAGCCCTATTTTACAGATCAGGAAAATAAGATTCAGCAAGATTGAAGGATTTACTCAAAGTCTCACTGCCAGTAAGTGGTAGAGCTTTTTGTGAATCTATTTCTTTCATTCTCTAGAACACTTTGTCATCTGGCTTTTACATTTTTAAAAAATATGTTTTTATTTGTTTTTTTGAGAGAGGAAGCGGGGAGGAAGAGAGGGATAGAAACATCAATGAGCATGAACATTGATCAGCTGCCTCCTGCACATCCCCTGCGGGGGATGGAGCCCGCAACCTGGGCATATGCCTTGATTGGGAATCTTGGGACCTCTTGGTGCATGGCGCAGTGCTCAACCACTGAGCAGGTGGCTTTTAATGTTCACAGCTCATTTGACTGAGTATCTATAAGGAGACTTTAGCAAACAGCACTTGTGTCAAATTCTGTGGTCCCACCCTGCTGGTGTGGCTCAGTTGGTTGAGTGTCGTCCCATGAACTAGGAGGTCATGGTTCGATTCCTGGTTAGTGCACATAGTCAATGCACGTGCCCGTGTTGCGGGCTTGATTTTCAGTGAGGGATGTGCAATGCAGGAGGCAGCCGATAACTGTTTCTCTCTCATTGATGTTTCTATTTCTCCCTTTCCTTTCCTCTCTGACATCAATAAAAACATTTAGCCAAAACCAGTTTGGCTTAGCGGTAGAGCGTTGGTTTGTGGACTGAAAGGTCCCGGGTTCGATTCCGGTCAAGGGCATGTACGTTGGTTGCGGGCACATTCCTGGTGGGGCATGTGCAAGAGGCAGCTGGTCGATGTTTCTCTCTCATCGACATTTCTAGCTATCTCTCTCCCTTCCTCTCTGTAAAAAATCAATAAAAATATATTTTTAAAAAACATATTTAAAAAATTCTGTGGTCCCATAACAGAGTCATGCCAAATTAATGTTCTCTTCAACATCTTTGGAAAACTTTAAACATCTTTGGAGAAATTATAATCTATTGATCCTTTTCCTTCTCTGTCCATCTTATACATCACTGTCAGACCTATTCTCCTTTCCTTTCAGCATACTTTGCCCATATTTTGAAGTAATTTGAAGCCCTTACTTCCGCAGTCAATTTTTAGTGCTGGAAGGGGCCTAGCCTTCACAATCTGTGCTTTTATTTGACCTTGCCTTTCCCACTTAATGGCTCTGTCCCACTATGTAACTATGTGACCTTCAAACATATCTTTCTAAAATAACTTTTCTTTTCATGATAGGCACACTAAAGCACATTTGTTGTGGAGAAAAATAAGGACATAAATTGGATGAAGTCATTTCTTGGTAGTTAGATTATAGGCTATTTAGACTTTCTATTTTAGTTTATCTTTTTGGGACAGTGTGTGTACAGATACGTATTCCACAACCCCCTTTTTTCTCTCAGTGGATTAGAATATGTGAAAATAGCTCTTCAAATCTCTACTCTTTGGCTATTTTTGTGACTTTAGGCAACTAATTGATCTCTTGAGCTTCAAATTTTTCATTTAATAAGTAAGGATGTAGCTATTTGACATAAAATAAACTCTCAATAATGGTGCAATTCTCATTCTTTTATTTTTTAAAACAGTATTGATGTCTCTGGACTTTTATTTGTATAAAATGTCTCATACCAGTTAAAGTCTATAATTATGACCTAACCAAGGTTCTGTATCTACTTAGTATTAGAGCCAAGACTAGAATCCAGTTTCTCTGTCTCCTAATTCAGTGATGTTTTCAAACTACAACTTCATCCATTGGTGCTCATTGCTGCAACAGTGAGCCAGTTACTGGTAGGAAAATACCCTTCAGATGTGCTAGCTATGGTAAGGTAAATGTTGAGAAAGAACCACATAGTAGGTGGTGAAAAAATGATTGGTCAGTTAATTATTATATTCAATTTTATTAAATGTTTGGGTTGAAGTATCTATTGAAAGACAAATTAGTTGTGATATGAAGAGAGAGAATAAATATGAACTGTTGTAGTAATATATATTGTAAAGTATATGCAAAATTATTGATTATACAAAGTGAGGTTTTTTAAAAGTCCTAGTATTTCTTTCTTGCAACCCAATGGATCTTGTGTGCCCTACTTTGGTAACCACTAATTTAGAAGAATACATAGAACATTAAAATTCTAGTGCTATACGTATGTGAAAGAGAAATGAGAACTAAAATAAACAATATAGTATGGGTCTTATGACAATGATGATAACTAGTATGTGAAATGCTACTTGATTCCTATAACTAACACAAGAACAAATAGGGCTATTTTCTACATTGATAGTCGTTAAATGGTATTTTCTCTAAAGATTCTTTCAGCTATAAAATCCTGAGGGGTAGAAATTGGCATGGAGATTTTTGGTGGGAGTAGGCAAAGATTGGTACCTTTTTTAGTTTAGTCTAATAATAAGAGCATATCCAGAAAGTGTAGAACAATTTTAGTTAATAAGTAAATAGGTTTTGAATTGGATTCCATATGCAAAGTTAAATGCATGGTTTTGGAGTTATTTTCAAGTTAGATAGGTACTCATTCAAGTCCCTCATTTTACACATAGGAAATTGAGGCTCAGAGAAATTTTATGACTTTCCCAAGATTAGACCTCTATTTAAGCAATAAAAACTTTTTAAAAATGAGCACATGGGTCAAATTTTATTTTTAAAAATTCTGTTGCAGTGAAAATTTTATATTAAAGAGTTCTTAATCCCAACAGATGGAATTTGTTATGATGTGATTTGAGTTATAATTAGAAACACTGTCTGATTCATTGTACTGATTTTCGTTTCTCTTTTTCTTCTAGAATGTCTTGATTGTTGAAGTAAGTTCTACATACTTTTAATATAGTGTTTATTATTGTCTAACTTAGTATGCACAGTTCTGCAGGTAAGCTGGGGAAAGAAATTCCTCTTCAATTTTAATGGTAGGTTTGTGTTATAAGAGAATGAGATTTTTTTGTCAAATTTGTACTGGATAATGGAAAGTTTTGGTATATTTCTCTTTTTGACTTGAATTTTTCCTTTTATTTATTTTTAAACACACACACATTTTTAGTACATCTTTATTGATTTCAGAGAGGAAGGGAGAGGAGAGATAGAAACATCAGTGATGAGAGAGAATCATTGATTGGCTGCTTCCTGCATGCCCCCCTCTCCCACTGGAAACCAAGCCTGCAACTTAGGCATGTGCCCTGACCGGGAATCAAACTGTTGACCTCCTGGTTCATAGGTTGATGTTCAACCACTGAACCACACTGGCCAGGCTTTCCTTTCTTTTAAAGTTAATATATATTAGCCCTGGCCCTTGTGGTTCAGTTGGTTGAGCATAATTCCAAGCACTGAGAGGTAGCCGGTTCTATTCCTGGTCAGGCCACTTCCCCAGTTGTGGGTTTGATTCCCAGTAGGGTACATGCAGGAGGCAGCCAATCAATGCTTCTATTTCTCTCCCTCTCCTTTCATCTCTCTCTCTAAAAAAAATAAAGTTGATGTATATTCACATGGATGTTTTTAATTCTATTGCATACATCTATCTAGATACAAATAAAAGCCAAGTGACTGGAACAACTGGTCACTATGATGCCCACTGTGGCCAGCCAATTGGCCTGATTTGGGGGGGGCGTCCCCTCCCTCTGGCCAGCCCCACCCCAGATCTGCCCTGGCTGGCCCCACCCCAGATCGCCCCCTCCACCCCCAATCAGGGCTGGCCTGCCAACCATCTGCTTCCCCTCCCCCTCTGACAGCCCAGCCCAACAGCCCCCACCATCTGGTGGGCTGACCAGAGCCCACCTGTGCACGAATTTGTGCACTGGGCTTCTAATACACACACACACACACACTCCCACACACACTCACACACACACACACAAAGTGTGACATATATATATATTAAAAATATTTTTATTGACTTTTAGAGAGAGAGAAACATTGATGTGAGAGTGAAACATTGATCAGCTGCCTCCTACATGCCTTCTACTGTGGATTTAGCCTGCAACCGAGGCATGTGCCCTGACTGGAAATCAAACTGGCAACCTGTGGTGCATATGACAACACCCAACCAACTGGACCACATCAGCCAGGTCTACAATATATATTTTGATTAAAAAATTTATATAGTGCCACACTATACATACTGTCTCTCTCAGCTTGTTATTTTTACTCAAAATTGATTTTGAGGTTATTCATTTTGACATATATAGAGTCAGTTGTCCGTAAAAATGCCACATAGCATTGCAGTGTATAAATCAACCAATTTATGCCCTATAAATAGCAAGATTGCTTGCAGTTTTTCCTACTACTATAGGGCTGCTAAGTGCCCTTTTCATGTCCTGATCACATTTGTGTGAGTTCCTTCTAGATACAGGCACTTAGAAGTAGAATGACTGGGTTGTAGAATCTGTACATTTTCAATTATACTATTACAAGAGGCTTAGTGCACAGATTCATGCACCTATGTGGTCCTTTGGCCTGGCCTGTAGGGATTGGGCCAAAACCGGCTCTCCAACATTCCCCAGGGGGTCCCACATTGCAAGAGGGCAGTTCTCAAGTGACGCACCCTGGAATTAGGCTCCCTCCTCTCTGGTTCCAGGAGAGGAGGTCAGTGTGCGTCATAGTTACTGGCCTGTTGGCCGGTCGCTCAGGCTTTTGTATATGTAGATTGCCAAATTACTTATCAAAGTAGTATATACTTTATACTCCCACCAATGGAATGAATTCTCATTCTTTTATGTAAAAATGGTTTAAGGCTTAAGAGCAACAGTAAACCTGAATTTATTTTTGTTGTTTTTAAGGTTATTTAGAAACTTTAGCTCGTAGATTAAAAGATAAACAAATGATAATTTTTTAAAAATATATTTTATTGATTTTTTTTCCAGAGAGGAAGAGAGAGGGAGAGAGAGCTAGAAACATTGATGAGAGAAACATTGATCAGCTGCCTCTTGCCCACCCCTTCCTGGGGATGTGCCTACAACCAAGGTACATGCCCTTGACCGGAATCGAACCTGGGACCTTTTAATCCGCAGGCCGATGCTCTATCCACTGAGCCAAACCGGTTTTGGCTAAATGATAATTCTTTTTTAAAGTTTTGTGCACATGAATATCCCTAGGAATGGTTTGCTTTCTTAAAACATAGATTCAGCCGAGACTGGTTTGGCTCAATGGATAGAGCGTCGGCTTGGGGACTGAAGGGACCCGGGTTCAATTCCGGTCAAGGGCATGTACCTTGGTTGCGGGCATACCCCCAGTAGGGGGTGTGCAAGAGGCAGCTGATTGATGACTCTCTCTCATCGATGTTTCTAGCTCTCTATCTCTCTCCCTTCCTCTCTGTACAAAATCAATAAAATATATTTTAATTAAAATGTAGATTCATTAATTCCACTTGAGATTGATTTATTTTCTCTGGGGTAATGCTGCCTAATAAATTACTGCCAATTTAGCAGCTTTAAACAACACAAATTTGTTATATCAGTTTACGTGGGTCAGGAACGCAGGTACAGGTTTGCTGGGTCCTCAGCTTGGGGTCTCACCACGCTGAATCAATGTTGATGCTCCTGTGGCTTATGATCCTCTTCCTTGTTCATTCAGGTTGTTGGCAGAATTTAGTACCTGTGGTTGTAGGATAGCTCCATTTTTTTTTGCCGAGTAGGAGTTGTTCTCAGCTCCTAAAGGCTATCTTCATGTCGTAGCACATGGTCCTCTCACATGGCAGTTTGACTTCAAAACCAGCAGGAGAATTGCTCTCCAGTCTCTTACATTATCTTGCCCAACATAACCTAATCACTGGAGTGACCATCCTATCATTTTCACGGTTCTCTCTTTTATATATATATTTTTTATTGATTTTTTACAGAGAGGAGGAGAGAGGGATAGAGAGCTAGAAACGTCGATGAGAGAGAAACATCGACCAGCTGCCTCTTGCACACCCCCTACCGGAGATGTGCCTGCAACCAAGGTACATGCCCTTGATCAGAATCGAACCTGGAACCTTTCAGTCCACAGACCGACGCTCTACCACTGAGCCAAACCGGTTTCGGCAACAGTTCTCTCTTTTGTGAGGGAATTATTCCTGGTGTGTACACCTGGGGGCAGGAGTGTCTTGGAGGCTATCAGAACAAAATTCTGTCTGATGCAGCTCAAAAATATGCATTTTTCACTAGTCTCCAGCCCTGATATTTCTGATGACTCACAGACCCTTCCCCCCCCCCACTTTGTGAAGCATTGCTTTACACCATTTGTAAAGAGTATTTTTCATTAAGATATGGTTTAAGAAATATTTTTCCAGCCCTAGCCAGTTTGGCTCAGTGGATAGTGTCGACCTGCAGATTGAAGGGTCCTGGGTTCAATTTTGGTCAAGGGCCATGTACCTTGGTTGCAGGCTTCTCCCTTACCCAGGCCCTGGTAGGGGCATATGCAGGAGGCAACCAATCAATGTGTTTCTCTCACATAGACTTTTCAATATTTTTCTGTCGCTCTCTCTTCCACTCTCTCTAAAAGTCAATGGAAAAATATCCTCAGGTGAGGATTTAAAAAACAATAGCCCTAGCCAGTTTGGCTCAGTATATAGAGCATCAGCTTGCAGACTGAAAGGTCTAAGGTTCGATTCTGGTCAAGGGCACATGCCCGGTGTGGCAGCTCAATCCCCCATGGTAGGTGTGCAGGAGGCAGATGATTAATGATTCTCTCTCATCATTGATGTTTCTATCTCTCCTTTACCTTTCTCTCTGAAATCAATAAAAATATATTTAAAATTTTATATATATATTTTTTCTCCCCAATTAGAGATGAGCTTGTTTTGAATAATGTCCTAGTTTTGATGAACTTATTAAGATTCACTTCCACATAAAGACATTTTATATAGTAAAATCTTATTAATTTGGATATTTTTAAAATGGTATAAAGCAGTTTCTGAAAGTGTGCATCTGAGAGTTAGAGGGGAGAGCATCCCAATCTTGAATTTTTTTTAAAAAAATCAAATAATTTTTATAATGGAGGGCAGCAGCATAATTATCTAATAAAACATGCATGTACATATATATACATAAAAATTGTTTCATTGACCTCTTGGTGTCTACAAAATCCAGTCCTGGGGACTGGCATTCCTACTGCTTGCTGAAAGCCAGGCTATTTACAGATTCTAGACTATCTAGTGTATGAATTGTGGTGAGAATTACTGTACTGAAAAATTGGCATTGTTCCAATTATACATGAAGTTTGGGTATGTTGTGTTTATAGAATGACTGAATTTAAAGTTATGATGGTTTTATTTACCATTTAAATGTCTTTTTTTAAAGGATATAATTGACACTGGCAAAACCATGCAAACCTTGCTTTCCTTGGTCAAGCAGTATAATCCGAAGATGGTCAAAGTCGCAAGGTATATATATTATAACATTTTGTCATAGGAAATTTTCTTCATTTGAAAGAGGATTAAGGAATTATTCCTGTGTTAGGGTAAATGTTCTCAATGGCCATTTTATCTTCAAAAAGTAATATAATCTCAAACTCAGTATCCTTTGTAAATAATTGTACATTTCTCTTATGACTAATGATCTTGAGATTCTTTTTATTTGCTTATTGACTCTTTGAGTATCTTCTCTGGAATGGTTATCCATTTAAAGCATGGAAATTGCTTAAAAAACGAACTACAATCATGCCTTACAGATGGAGCTTCATTAAAGATTCAGATCTATAGGCATATGAAGTGCCAAGTTCCACTGAACTCTTAGTATAGCTGGCACTGAGTTTGCTGATACCATTTCTGGAATGTTCCTGAGTAAATGCAGTTAAAAGGATGAGTTTTGCTGTGAATGATTGTTTTAAATTTGTATATGGAAATTGATTCCAAACATATCTTCTATTTCAGTGTTTCCCAAACTTTTGACATATGTGTACCCCTTTTATAATTTTCGTAATGCTGAGTACCCCTCATACGCATGAGAACGTAGAATTAGGCGCAGCTAAGCACGGTGCAGTGCATATTCCCACCAAACTCCGGTGCAACACGTACCCCCACCAAACTCTTCCCGTACCTCGGGGGGTACGCGTACCACAGTTTGGGAAACAATGCAGTCTATTTAATGACTGGAAGAGAATCGTGAAGGACTTGAATAGATGATCCCTTGGAGGCTAAGGCTTAGGCTAGTGATTCTCATTCAGCTGCACATTGAAATTATGAGAGTTAAAAACAAATAAATAAAACACAACCTATGTCTGTGTCCCATCCTCAATAATTCTGATATCATTGGTCAGGGATGTGGCCTGAATAGTTGAGGGTTGTTTTTTTTTTTTTTTTTTTTTTTTTTTTTTTTTAAGTTCTGAGGTGCAGCTAAGGTTGAGTTTTACTTTAGGTCCTCTCCAGCTCTTTAAATATACTTATCGAGGAAGGCATGAAGTCATAAGTTTTTTTGGGACTTCCTTTAACACACACCAAGGCTTTCAAAGTACCATCTACTGCTTTTTTTAATGGCTAAAAATTTCAGCACGAAGCACTTGAGTTACAAAATTAGCTTTTGTTCGAGTTGACTCATCCTACCTGCAGTTTTTACTCTCAAAGATAAATACTGCCTCCTTTAGCATGCTAGTTACTTTTTAACCTAAAGTTCCTCTTGGTAAGCAAACTGTTAAAAGTCTTGAAAGGTGATGCTCACCACTCCTACACTCCTTATGGCTTAGGGATTGTATTTCTAGGGATTCTGGACTAAGAGCACTTATCTTTTCTTTGCTCATTGGCACTCCCCACCCATTTATCTGCCTGATTAGCTGTCCTTCAGTGGGTGCGTGGGTGCGTGGGTGGTTGGGATGCAGTTCTCAGAACAGTCTATCACGTTCCAGGTAGAGATCAAAACAAGGCCTGGTCTGTAGCGTGAACTCATTGCTGCCCCTGCCCAGTGATCCTGTGATTTATTTAGCTCTCTGTTTCATAGTCTTTCTTTGGGTATGTTAAAACTGACCACGGCATGCTAATTTCAGAAGAAACCGTGTTTCAGAACATTAATGTTTTCTTTTGTAATGCTCTGTAGTGTCTCTATATGTCACATGTCACATTTTAAAATTAACAGCTTGCTGGTAAAAAGGACCCCTCGAAGTGTTGGATATAGACCAGACTGTAAGTGAATTGCTTATTGTCATTTAGACATCTTTAACCCAACTAATTTTATAAATGAAACTAGAGGCCAGGTGCATAAAATTCATGCACTGGGGGGTGGGGGTGTTGGTCCCTTAGCCCGGCTTAGGCCCCGGGGGGGGGGGGGCGGGGAATATCCCTATGGGAAGTGGCCTAAGCCATAATTTCCTTAGCGCTGCTGCGGAGGCCAGAGAGGCTCTCGCCACCACTGCTGCACTTACCAGCTGTGAGCCTGGCTTCTGGCTGAGCGGTGCTCCCCCAGTGGGAGTGCACTGACCACCAGGGGGCAGCTCCTTTGTTGAGCCTCTGACCCCTGGTGGTCAGTGGGTGTCATTCTGCCATTCAGTTGATTTGCATATTAGTCTTTTATTATATAGGATAGGGTGGTTTAGAGTTACATTAGAGAATATTTGTAGAGAAGGCACATTTGATTTGAAAGTGATGTTTTCTGGCCCTTGCTGGGTAGCTCAGTGGGTTGATGTGTCATCCCGATGCTCCAAGTTTGCGGGTTTAATCTGTAGTTAGGGCACGTACAGTGGTTAACCAATAAATGCATACATAAGTGGAACAATGGAATAATGGCTGGGTGTTTCTCTGTTTTTCTCTCCCTCCCTGTCTTCCCCTCTCTCCCTCTTTCCCTCCCCATCCCTCCCCCGCTCCTCTCAAATAAGTAAAATTTAAAAATATTTTTAAAAAAATATATTTTATTGATTTTTTACAGAGAGGAAGGGAGAGAGATAGAGAGCTAGAAATGTCGATGAGAGAGAAACATTGACCAGCTGCCTCCTGCACACCCCCTACCGGGGATGTGCCCGCAACCAATGTACATGCCCTTGACCGGAATCGAACCCGGGACCTCTCAGTCCGCATACCGACGCTCTACCGCTGAGCCAAACCGGTTTCAGCTAAAAATATTTTTAAAGTGATGTTTTCTGTATCTAAATGATGAATTATGATTCCTTCTAGTTGTTGGATTTGAAATTCCAGACAAGTTTGTTGTAGGATATGCCCTTGACTATAATGAATACTTCAGGGATTTGAACGTAAGTAAAACTTTTTTTTTCCTCACTATCATTTTTCAGAACCCATATAAAAGTTTACGAAAGAGAATTGTTTTCTCTTTCCAGCACCTCATAATTTGAACAGACTGATGGTTCCCATTAGTCACATAAAGCTGAAGTCAAGTAAAGACGTCCTTAGAGCTGGAACTTGGCCAGGCTAGGGTGACACTTTTTCTGGCTGAAATAGTTGAACAGCTTTAATACACACTAACTATCCCATTATTATTTCAGATGATAGATGCGCTCATAAGTAAGAAGTAAATGAACTAGTTTAAGTCTTTTAATTCAGTCTCCTTCAAATACCCACCTCCTACTTTAGAGACAGGAGTCTTAAGAATGAACGTATGAGCATAAGTGAGGAAGATTAGGAAGACTGCACAAACCTCTTTTTGTTTAGTAAAAAAGCCCGCAGGATAATACCATTCTTACAAGGTATGCAAATTGCTGTTCTTGCCTTTCACTTCGGAACACACTTTTCTAATGTGCATTTCTGGATTTTTATTTTTTAGCATGTTTGTGTTATAAGTGAAACTGGAAAAGCAAAATACAAAGCCTAAGATGAGAGTTCAAGTTGAGTTTGGAAACATCTGGAGTCCTATTGAAATCACCAGTGAAGTTATCTAATGTTCTAGTTCTGTGGCCAGCTGCTTAGTAGAGCTTATTGCATGTATCGTATAAGAATTTTTTCTGTTTTGTAATTTAGAAATGTCAGTTGCTGCATTCCTGAACTCTTTATTTGCACTATGAGCCTAAAGACTCAGTTTTCTTTGGGTGGATTGTTATTTGACTAGTGAATGAAAAATCTCTTAAACCATACCACTATTGAATGAAAATATTGAAATTGTATCTGTAAGAAACATTTAAAGAGAAGATATATTAGTTTTTAATTGGTATTTTAATTTTTATATATTCAGCAAAGTACAGAAGTGATTGAATATTGTTAATTATACCACTGTGTGTTTAGAAAAGTAAAAAACAGTCAGGTTTTGTATCTAAGACAGCACTTAAGAGATATTGTTATATAAACCAAATGTCCTGGAATTCTTTAAGTAGTGTTTCAGTATTATTAACTGCATTTTCACACTTGTTCATATTATTTTCCGTGAATCTTTGTCAATAGTTCCTTTTAAATACAAATCAATATGTTCCAGAATAACATTACCACTTTTTGAATTCATCAGTGTAAAAATCCTTAAAATAAAGGCTGTCTCTTTAAAAGAAACTGCGCATACCTATAATTTCTCTACAAATTAACCCAGTATAGTTTTCTTTTGGTTTCCTTTTCCTTGCCAAGTTTTAGTAACTAGTTTAATTGTAATCTTTACCAAGCATGGCGAACAATAATTATCTGGTAGAAGGGATAAGTGGAACTGGCAAAATTCTTACCCATTTCAGAGACATTAACTTTCATACAAATGGTATACCTTACTACATTTTACTGTGCTAAAATGATATGACTTTCTCTTGGAATTCTGTTAGAAATTGTTTAGATTACAATCTCATCTGCATCACAACAATTTGTTTTCAGACATGTAAACAGACGATTACCTTCTTTGAATAATAGATAATACTTTATTGAGTAAAGAATAACAACAACAAAACCTTTTGTTTTCTGGGAGCAGGAAGAAAAGTTGTTGTTTTTAAAAAAACAAAAACAAAACACACCTCTTAATTGCTTCTCTGTTCCATGTAAGGTATAAGCCATCTACCTATATTTATGGCTTAAAAAGTTTACTGCAACTCCCAGCAGCAAAGTAAGGAACTTTATTTATTTTTAAAAAAATACATTTTATTGATTTTTCACAGAGAGGAAGGAAGAGAGATAGAGGGTTAGAAATATTGATGAGAGAGAAACATCGACCAGCTGCCTCCTGCACAACCCCCACCGGGTATGTGCCCACAACCAATGTACACGCCCTTGACCGGAATCGAACCTGGGACCCTTGAGTCTGCAGGCGGATGCTCTATCCACTGAGCCAAACCGGTTTCGCAAAGTAGGGAATTTTAAATAATAATTTGTTATAGTCCTAGAACTTTCTAGTTAACAAAACTTTTTCATTTTTGTTATCTCATTTGATCTTAATAACCCTTTGAAGTTGAGGTCAGTGTTACCACATGTGAGTGTAGTATCCAATATAACTCCTGATTCTTCCCTCCCACCCCTGTCTCAATATGTCACCTCATTGAGGTGATTTACAACTGTAATCTTCCTCCCATTGCTAGTCTTCCTTACCCAATCTCTTTTCAATTGCATTCACCATCCTTATTAGGCAGAACTATATGAAATTATCATTTTTGTAGGTAAAAGTAGTTGGGTATTGGCAATTTTGAGTGGTAACCTAATAACATGCTGTATAACTTGCATTTGTATTTATTGCTTACTGTCTCCCCCCCTCTACATCTTAAAATGTAAGCTCCATAAGGAAGGCAAGAATTTGTATGTCTTGTTCACTAATGAATGTTTACCTAGTCTCTCAAAGATAGTAGAAGCTCAAATTGTTGAAATAATGAATATCTAAGTGCTTGGTTTTTGGACTGTCCTGACTGTGGCTTATATAGCTATGTGACATTGGGTTACTTAACTTTGGAACTGGTTTACTCCACTGACTAATGGGGATAATGCTGTCTCCTTCACAGACTTATTGTGAGAATTAATAGATTAGATAGCACAGGTAAAATAGGACAGTGGCCTAGGACATACCAAGTATTTCATAAACATTAGTTGCTACTTCAAAAATAAATGTTTTAAGATGCTAGGTACACAACTAGTAAGAGGCAGAGACTTAAACCAAAATCTGTCTGATTACTGCTACAGTATCATGAAGAAGCTGAGCTGTTTCTCCTTCGGATTCACCTAAGCTCTTTAGTTTCTGGTTAAGTAATGTTTTAGCTGGTTGGCAAACTCAACAAGAAATCTAGCTAACAGCCAGGAAGGAACCATCTAAAGCTTATGTACTTTTCTAATAAGAATGTTCCTGCCCTAACCGGTTTGGCTCAATGGATAGATTGTTGGCCTGTGGACTGAAAGGTCCCAGGTTCAATTCCGGTTAAGGGCATGTATCTTGGTTGTGGGAACATCCCCAGGGGATGTGCAGGAGGCAGCTGATCGATGTTTCTTTCTCATCAATGTTTCTAACTATCCCTCTCCCTTCCTCTCTGTAAAAAAAAAAAAAATCAATAAAATATGTTAATAATAATTTAAAAAATAATGTCAGACCTTCCCTAACCTGATTTTTGGGCATAAAACTAATAATTTTGTTTAACCAGTTTTCAACATAATATAGTCCCTTTATAAGATGAAGGAAGGGAGATGCTGACAAAAACAGCAGTAATTTTCAGAGCTGTCCATCAAAGGTAGAAAAAGATATTAAAATGAAAAAAGTTGTAGCCTCTTTGGGCCATTTTTTTCATTTAGAATAAGAGCAAATGGTCATAAATGTCACACCTCAGTAACTCCTAAGGGCTATACTTTCATTACAATGCTATATAAAACGGGATGTTCATAAGGAAAGGAAAATGAAGTTTGCTTGATTATAAGAGATAGGGAAGCTTAGGATCTGTTTTAGGAATGTCACTATCCAAAGAAATGTTGGTGATTAAAGTAGAGGTAGTGACCTGGGCAATTCATATGTATTGAACCCATCATGTTTTCTTGTACTGTGAATGCTTAGAATATTATATGTGTGCCATACCCATAAATACAGGTAGGTATCCATTTTAATTCTATGTATAAAGGATTTATAGATAATCTGGCTACTGGTCTAATTATACCTTTCCTACATTTGAGATTCTATTATTATTATTTTTAAAATATATTTTATTGATTTTTTACAGAGAGGAAAGGAGAAGGATAGAGAGTTAGAAACATCGATGAGAGAGTTATCAATCAGCTGCCTCTTGCACACCTCCCACCGGGGATATGCCCACAACCCAGGTACATGCCCTTGACCGGAATCGAACCCGGGTCCTTTCAGTCCGCAGGCTGATGCCAAACCGGTTTCAGCCATTTGAGATTCTAGAAACACACTGAGCATCCTCTGTGGGCCAGGTACTGGGGAAGACAAGGAAAGGTGGTTTCATGAAGATTTCATTCTATTTTGGCAAAGGGGTAGTAAACAAGATAATTTCAAATAGAGGCAGGCTGTGCAGAAGCTAAAACAGCAATGCAACAGGACGGGGGTAGGATGAGGAGTAGGTACCATATGTTATGTGGATAGGGAAGGTCTTTCTTGAGCTTCAATTGAATGGAAAAGAAACCAGCCACATGAAGGGCTAGGTGTAGACAATTCCTTGCAGTAGGAATAGCAAATACAAAAGGTGCTGAGATGGTGACTGTTAACTAAAAATAAAAAGCAGTTCAAAGTGAGAAACAAGTATTTATTTGAGATCAAAGACCAGCTATTTGGGAAGCCCTAATGCAAACAGAAACCAAATAATGTTCCAATTAGGATACAAAGACAATGGATGTTTATGAAAAAGGGAAGAGGAACAATTATACCAAGAGACAACAGAAACATAGTGATGTTAATTCTAAACAGTGTTTCAAATTTTGAGTCTGGTAGCCATTGGCCTGATAGTCATATCTACTTTCTGCTTATTTTTGCAAACAGTTCTTTGGGACACAAGGTTGTTTTATGCCCAGTCCAGAGGTTACTTTGCCCTGTTTTAACATTCCAAACATTTGAGGGTAAGGCATGCAAAGCAGTTCCTCTGGGATGGCATCCCCAGCTCCATTTTAAAGTGGCTCCTTTTATTACTTTTTTTAAAAATAGATTTTATTGATTTTTTTTTTTTTTTTTTTTTTACAGAGAGGAAGAGAGAGAGGGATAGAGAGTTAAAAACATCAATGAGAGAGAATCATCGATCAGCTGCCTCTTGCACACCCCCAACTGGGAATGTGCCTGCAACCAAGGTACATGCCCTTGACCGGAATCGAACCTGGGACCTTTCGGTCTGCAGGCCGACACTATCCACTGAGCCAAACCAGTTTCGGCTCCTTTTATTACTTTTTGACATGACAAGTCATCTGAGATGTTGAAGGAGAGAGAAGGAAGGCCAATTTGCTGTTAAGGACAGTGGTAGGACTTGAGATTGGAGAGGAAGGCCAGGGCCAGACCATGGTCAGCCTGGTGGGGTATAACAAGGAGTATGGATTTTTTGCATTCCACCATAGGAAGACACAGATTTTTAAAAAATATATATATTTTTAATTGACTTTTTTACAGAGAGGAAGAAAGTGGGATAGAGAGAAACATTGATGAGAGATAATCATCGATCAGTTGCCTCTTGCACACCCCCCACTGGGGACGTACCCAAAACCAAGGTAAATGCCCTTGACCAGAATCGAACCTGGGACCTTTCAGTCTGCAGGCCGATGCTCTATCCACTGAGCCAAACTGGTTTTGGCAAAGACACAGAGACTTTTAATGTAGGGAGTGAAGAGATTGGGCACGTTCAAGGTGGTATGACCATAGACTCATGCTAAGTGAAATAAGTCAGATGGTAAAAGTCAAGAACCATATGATTTCACTCATATGTGGGATATAAAACTGAAAGC